GTGATGAACTGATGATAGTAGACGGGAGGAGTTAGAGTGTTAATTTCATAAGAGTTAGCACCATCCTAACCTCTATAATCAGTGTCCATTACTTTTAAGTTAAACCAGACTATGAGGAGAAACAAAGGGCATGTTTGGTATTTGAAAAAAATTAAATTTTAATTATCTCTCTCCTCCTTTACAGAGAATTTTAGCGTGAAAAAAACCACCACCAAAAAACTACTACTATTTAAATTAGTAGTGATTTAGCTTAGATGGTGTAGTGATTTTATAATAATCAGTAGTGAATTTCTTTGTATTAGTAGTGTTTTTTAATTAGGAGAAGTAGAGGATTTTTAGAAAGAACAATATAACAAATGAAAAATAATACTACAAAGAACAAATATTACTACTAATATACAAAACACTACTAATAATTTCAAATATCACTGCTCAACTGCTAAGGCATACGACAATCACTACTCCACAATCACTACTAACCCAAAATTACTACTAATCAATAATATTATGGATCTAACAGAAAGTTCTCCTTTTTCCTACGACATGCTATCCATGAACAATTGAAGACAGTGGTGATGGGAAGCCAATGCAGACAAGGGAGGCGGAAGTAAGGGCGCGCCTACTCGTTTCTCTGCATCAAACGACAACCTCTCCCCATATCTAGTTTTATCAAATCACCATCGGTGATGGCGACGTGGTTACAGGCGATGGAGGTGAACGCCAGCAGGCGATGGCGAGGCGGTTGCGGGTAATGACGAGGCGGTTGCAAGCGATGGCGAGGCGGTTGGCGATGTTAAGGCGGTTACGGGTGAAGCGGTTTTAGGCGCGCGGTTGCGGGCGATGACGAGTCCATTGTGGGGGAGGCCGAAGCCGACATGGCTAAGATCTTGTCGTAGTCGACCGGAAGGGTAATCGACGGAGATCAGAGTTTCCTTAGAGAGAGATGGGGTTCTGGATTTTTTAGAAGGAGAGAGAGGGAGTAATGGGACGAGGGATGGCAATGGGTAGGGTAAGTGCGGGTTTACCCTATACCAACTCCTAACCCGCCGGGTAGAGCCTCCTAAAATACTTGACCAAATAACCATCGGATATGAAAATGATATAACCATACCCTACCCACCGGGTAACCACGGGTATGCGGGTAACCATGGGTACGAATCCTAAAATATGAATATACACATATATGCACATACATACTGTTGCCCATTAAAAATTCTCAATACTTTTAACTGTTCTAACTTCAACAATCCACACAAATAAAAACAACAAACACATAATAGTTGTTCTTGCTTCTACAATCCACACAAACAAAAACACAATACATCATATTTGTTCTAACTTCAACAGTCCACATATAAACATAAACAGAAAAGACAATCAGTCTTGGTTCTTAGACAAACATATTTTGTGAAGAGCAAAAGCATTGAGTCCCTGGGAATATTGCATCTTGTCTCTCCTCCATATGCCAAACATTAGTTCCCTTCTACAACAATATAAAAGAACAATCAGCATATAAAACAGAGGAAACAGAGCTGAAATATTTAATTTGGAGTATAGAGATTACCAGTACCACACGAAACATCGTCTACAACTTCATCATCAATAATGGTAGCTAAACTCAATTTCTCAAGTGAACTTAAATCATCTACAAGAAAGAAGACACTCCACAAGTTAGCTAACAATTGCATATTGTATAAACAACATATATGAAAGATAGGAAAGACCTATCAGTATACCTGGGACATTAGCATTAAACAATCAGTTCTATGCACACATCAAAACTTCAACTGTCTGTGGGAGAAGTCTGCTACGACAAAGACTAACTAGCCTTCCACCCGAGCTAAAAGTAGACTCAGAAGACACTGTAGTGACCGGAATAGCAAGTATATCTCTAGCAATCAATGCCAAAGTAGGATACTTTGAAGAATTTGCCTTCCACCACAACAATATATCAAACCCTATTGTTTTAGGAAAAACCCTTTCTCTGAGATAACCATCTAACTCGGTTGCAACTTCTTCTTGACTAGCCAGCAATGAAGCCACATACATATCGTAGGCAGACATTTTTGCTCCATTTTGACTACTCAAGTTTACACTTTCGGTCAAACTCACATTATTACCCACATTCACAGTTGAACGATTCTTATATTCCTTCTCTAAATACATAATCAATTTCCGGACAGCCTCGATTTTACCCTTTGCTTCCTAACCATAGATGTTAGGAAAGTAGCATTCCAACAAAGTAAACTTGTACCTTAGATCAAAGACAGCATCTATAGCCAAAACATCATGGATAGAACCTCAATACTTCTCAAACTTTGTCATCATACTCCCTTCATCCTGACTATCAAATCTTTGAGAGCGAGCTTTACTAAGACCTCCATTTAAATTCTTAGTCAGGAGCATTTGTCTTATGTCTTTGATTTTTCTTTTGGGACAACTAAGGACATGTTCTTTCAAATGACTTGTTCCATTATTTGTAGCAGCATTGAGAGCTTTTAAACAGATTCGTTTAAAATGTTTCCAAACTTCACTCTTCAGTTTGCTTGTATCAAGTACCCCATCATTACTAGTAGCAGAAGAAGCATCAGTTGCAAGTGGTGGTGGTGGTGGAATCTCCACTCCAACCGTAGTAGCAGGCATACCACTAGAATTAGGAGTATCTGAGCAACCATTTGTTGACGAATTGCTCTCAACGTGTGCGACTATGGGGGGGATTTCCACAAGGAGATTCATTTGACGAACTCATTGTTCCACCTACAAAACAGGACGGATCGATCAGGGGAAACGCACAGCTACAGTGACAATATGAATATAATTTGAACCCTAGGTAAACATATAATTCCATGAAGTTGGACAAATTTTATAATAAACAACAGAAACAATAAAAAACCCTAGGTAAACCTATAATTCCACGAAGCTGGGTCTAAAATTATATCTCATTTGAACCAATCGACGCAAAAACATACCTTTTGCAGTCGCGGTGGGGGAAGGTACTACGTCGCGGGGGATTTTGAGAGTTATCTCGTCGTTTTGCCTATATTACAATGAGATGCTGGCTGGAATGGGGGAGTCTTGGCAAGCCGCACTGGAACGGGGGAGAGCAGGTCGTGGGAGATGCTGGCTAGAATGGGGGAGATCTTGGCGAGCCTCGTTGGAACAGGCGAGAGCAGGTCGTACGAGGAGATGCTTGCTGGAACGGGGGAGATCCAGGCGAGCCGCGCGCGACCGAGAGGGTAGCAGGGAAACGGCGCACGAATGAGAAGGAAGCAGGGGAGAGGAGGAAGGCGCCGTTGGGATTGGCGGCCGACGGGGATCCTTGAAAACGGCACGCAAACGGAGGGAAGCGAGGGGGGGGGGTCGTAGTGTGGAGTGTGGGCGTGGGTTTTGGCCGGCTGGGGGCGGCGAGGGAGAGCTTAGGGAATAGGGTTTGGATTTTAGGGTTAGAGACAAAGTTGGGAAATGGAAGAAGTGAAGATGATTGTCTTTTGGTTGGATAGTGGCTAGCGGGTAGTGGGTGTTGGGTTGCTGCTGAGTAGGGTTAGGGTCTAGAAAAATCAACCTTTAGTTAGCAGGGCGGGTAGTATCTATTACTATACCCGTACCCTACCCGCATTTTTACAAACGTTGACCGGTTACGGTCGGGTAGAATACCATGGTTTCGGGTTGGATTGCCATCCCTAGGTGGGCGGCTGGGGAAGGAGGATAGAAACATGATATTTATATTAGGGTTTAATGGTGTATACTAAATTATCCTCTATTTATTTCTGACCCTAGGATTAGTTTTTAATCTGATGGTTAATAGACTAGTTAGTATGGTGCTAACCCAATTAGATTCCGATAATAGACTCACGACTTATTTACACAAATTAAAATTTTATTTATTTTAAAATAAACAAGTAAACCAGTAAAAATTGCAATACAACACTATGGGGTTGTTTTGAATAAGGAAATGTGATATGAGAGATTCGTGTCGTAATTGGAAAATTTTTAGCGCCAGCCATTCAAGGTGTCAGTTTGTTATTGGTGAATTTACTTTTTCTTCTTAATAATTAATTATGCTAAGTAAATCAAGAATTAAAATATTAAAAAATGATGAAATTACCAATAGAAAACTGACACGTGGCTGGTTGGAGCTTTTGCGTCCAACCAAGGTTGGAGGTAAGAATTTCCCGTCGTAATTGGCCTATTGATGAGCCTGCCATTTATAGTTCTTATGTTGCAAATTGGTTGTTGGTAAAATCACTCTAAGTGGTCATTTGCTTGTTGGATTTGGGTCATGGATTTTGTACCCAAATCCCAATGTTGATGGATTTAACATAAGTCCATTGTTTGTTGAAGGGTGCTAAATCCGTGGGGTCCTCGGATTTGGTCTTTATTTTGGAACCAAATCGTGGATCCCACGGACTTGTAAATCCCACATATTGATTTGGGATTTGCAAATCCTTGATGGTTATTTATTTATTTAACAAATTCATCATCAAATCTATCATGCAAACATTAGACTCTTCAAATGCATAATCCAATAAATCCAACATAAATCCCAAGGTTTTTATTCGCCAATACCCTTATTATTCAAATCCAACAAGCAAACGACCATTAAATCATTATAATCTTGTACAATATTCTTCTCTTTTTAGTGCCCCTACGTACACAAGGGACACTTTTTCCTATCTTTATGTTGCAAATTGAATCCCATAATATAGTACATATTGTTCACCCCACACATCATTGCCTGTTACATAACATGCAACTATTGTTGCGATTGTTATTAAGAAATTGAATGCTTTGTAAAGTCTACAACACTTTTACACAAGCTCTTCTAATGGGGAAGATGAGGAGATATATTCGACCAAAAGTTCATCATAAGTGACCTCAGAAAAGAAACGAAGAAGGTAAACATGCTTACTCCGGAAAGCTGCTTGCATGCAAACACGACTTATTTCTTGTTCACAAACGAACTTTTCTCGGAATGACCGATTTACTGAATGGAATTTTTATTATGGGAGGCAGAAGTTATATGTCTCGAACCTCAGGAAACAACCCGCGAGAGTGATTTGGCCGCCATACACATTCTTGCACAAGGTGTTGAGCAACCAATCTTGCGCGAACTTGAGGCACGCGGTGCAGTCTTCGTCCGAACCGCTAGTGGGACACGAACCAAATCCAAACATGTCGGGATCGGTAAGTACGGTACCGCAGTTGCCAGCGGTGCCGGGGCTCACGACGTCAATCGCCAAGTCCGTCGCTTGGAGTGCTAGATTGCGCAGCTTAGGAGGGTTGGGGTCCCTTTTCTGGCTGCAGAGGGCCGAAATGTAAGTTAGGTCGGGTGCGGCTTTAACGACGGTTTTGGGAACGACGGTAATGATTGCAAGCAGCGGGAAGAGCAGTGTCAAGAAAGAAGCCATGTCGATGACGACGATGATGGTGGTGGTGGGTAGGAGACAACGAGTGGTGGTCTTTCTTCTTCTAATTATTGCTTTGTGTGCATGCTGAAATATACACGGCTGTTTCTGTGTTTTTGCCGCCTAACCAACTAGGCAACTACCTAGCTTCGATTTTATAGTAAGTAGAATTTTGTGAAATTGAGGGGATATATCGATCAAATCAATCCGACTATTCCTGTTGTGGCATCCATGGCCGTATTACTGATCTCGTCCTTGGTATCTTCCAAACTATGTTGGCTAATTATGATTACCTTTTCATCTTCAAGCATATATGTATCGACAGTCGATACTTCGTCAATGATATTTTCTTTTACTTTTGAAATGGACTTAGAGTGGTGGAGTAAGAAATTTGAATGAGGGGACTAATTGAATCATTGTGATTTTATTTTTTTATTTTTTTTTTGTGAGAGGGAATTCAAGCCTTACCACGTACTCTATTTCTTAAATTTATTACGAACTTTACATGTAAATTTATCATATTTTAAAATTCGGTACCATAGCTCCAACGATGGGAGGGTGTATCATGGGGTGGTTCAGAAAAGGACCGGGTCTGAATACGATCGACTTAAAAAATAATGTAAAAATAATCAGGATAATTATAGAATAGATTCATTTCGGTTCGATCCAGTCCAGTTCCAACTTTGATTCGTGAGATTTTTTTCCACTAATTTTTCTATTTATTTATCATATAAAATATATTTATCAACAAAGTTTTTAATATTTCTCGAACCACTCTAATTTTTTAGTAAGTATAAACATTATAGTATAAAATTTTTATTTTTATTTTCATTGAATGTTAACAATCACAGTTATCAAATAATAAATATTTTAAAATCTGTTTTCAACAATCCGAAGAGCTAGAATCTTTAAATTATTGACAATCTATAGATTTAAACTCATATTCTCAAAACACTACAGGAAAATAGATTTTTAGACACGGGAACTTATTCACGGGAACATTTCCCGTACTTAGAAGTATATTAATAGTCACGGTAAAAATTCCTGTAATTGACGGTATAGATCTAAACATGGGAATTAATTTAACAATTTTTAATTTTTATTTACCGTGACAAATTGTTAGTCACGGTTAATTACCCTGAACAATATCATAATTTAGTTTGAAAATTTTTACCAAAATTTAGGAGGGAGAATTTGGTTTGACTCCAAAATTCATTTCCTCCAAAACTTCCCACAAAAAAATTTCATTTGGGCTCCAAAAAGTAGCCAACGAAAATTATCCCGCCCACCGTCTTTTCCCTAGTTTTTATTTATCGCCTTCGCGGTTTTTGGTTCCTCTTTCCTCGACCTGATTGCCATCGTAAAACAAAAGAAAAAGCTGAAGTCGACATAGTGAACAAGATAGACAGACATAAATCCCTTCTCTCTTCTTCTCTCTAAACGAAAAACATAGGCAAAGACCTATAAATCTCTTCTTCCTCTTCCCCAGATCTGCACCGCTTCACCCAATTCCCTCCCCTCTGACTAAAAATCAATGTTCCCATTCCATATTATCTTCATCTTCAATCAGCTTCTTCCTCGACTCCATGGTTGAAAAATCACCATCACCCCTTCCTCTGTGAGCGAGAAATCTTTATCGCGCTATCCATGGGGCTATCTCGGAACAAATTGAGGCAGAGTATGGCGCGATTCGAGACCCAGGGAAAGGTCCACGACGAACCTAGATCTGTATTCGAAGGCGGAGGTGTAAGAAACTTTCGGCAATGGCGACTCTTGGCACAACTTATAGCGTAAATCGCAAGGGAACTGGACAACGGCGGAGCTAGATGTTCCCGAGCGGCAACGAGCAAGGCTACCAGGAAAGGATCCTACGACCCAGACCTTCCCTTCAAATTCGTCACTTTTTTCAGATGAGGGGCATAAAGGAGATCGCTAGGTTTGTGGAGATTAAATTTGGGATTTGGGGGGTTCTGTTTTTGTTGGGGTTTTGGGATGGGTTCTAGAGATGGGATTTATGAGGGGTTTGTTTCTTGTATGTTGCAGATGATGGCGCCAGCAACGACGATATAATGAGGATTCTTTTGTGTGCATTGTTGTATCATTGCTGATGTTCTCATCTGACTACTACAAGGTATAGAGCAGAAGAGCTTTTATTTTGAGTTTATGGATTGGTGTTTGGTTTGTGTTAACGTGGCTTGTGTTGATGAACTTGAAGTTTTCAGTAATGTAGGATTTTGTGTTTGAATTCTGTATCAGGGGAACGTGAGAAGTGTTTATTGTTATACTTCATTTTTCCATCAAGGCTGCAGGTTTTACTCTCATCCTGATTTTAATTTCGGATTCTAGGGACTGGATTCTCCACCAAAACCGAAGTCCTAGTTTACTCAATTCTAAGTACTCTTTAAGTCCAAACTTGGTGTCAGCTCAGCAACAACCATATTAAACAAGTCGTTTGAAGAACATGACAAGGAAGAGGGAGAGGAAAAAGAGGAGAGACTTATCTATGTTGTTCCTCTATAGCAAAGGAAAAGGAGTTAATCTAAAGCCTGGTCTCTTTTCTCTCTACTTGGATTCAAATAGTTTGTGTTTTGTTTGTATCCTTTCTGTTTATTTCTCTTTACTATTTATATTGGTTACTTCGAATTAAAGATACAAAAAATTTATTTTACAGTCACAGATGGGTAACTGGAGTAGTTGTAGGAGTTTGGTTCAAGCGATTGGAGAAGCTATCACGGGTTAGCAGAGTCAGTTCTTCTTAATTGAACAACTGGCCATTATATCAATGTAACTGAAGCAATTTGCAGTTGACAATTTGTATATGCGTAGGAATAGTGGTAGTTTTAAGTGGTGTGCTCATCTAATGAAGCCTCATTGCTAGGTTGCTGTGCATTATAATCAAACCAGCCATCCTGACGTTGGTATGAATGGGGAACTAATTCATGATCTACTGCTGATGCAGCAAGGGACAGTACATCAGCCACAAACTAAAGTAGGCAAAATAATGAGAAAGCAATAGTAGGAGCTGGAGAGGGGATACTACTTCGATGAGTGCCAGAGGTGGTTGCCAAAGAGCCACCGAGCTCACCTCCAAAATCCACTACTGCTACTACTAGAGGTTTGAAAGCTGAGTATGTATAAATGATATTTATTTAATGAATCTAAGTATTGTGCTGATCTTATACTTGCCAAAGGATATAGCTTGGTGAAAGTCAAAGGTATATAGCTTGGTTACAATGATGTGTGTTTGGAAGGGTGGTGAACTGGGCAGTTCATATTTATATATTTCCAAATTTGGGTATTTGATGTACTGGCTGTTGAGATGATTTGAGTTTGTAGTACTGTTCCTGTTGCCTATAATGGGTGTTTGCTTTGAGCAAGAGAAGATGGTTGTGGTTGGGTGTGTAGTTTTTTTTGGCATATCGTCTCCATCGGTTTAAATTCATCTAGTTGTAATTTTATTCTCGGTTTGATGCTATTAGTGAATGATTCGTTAGGATGCATACAGTTTGATGTATGATTCAGTTGGTCTTAGTCATTTACAGGTTTTGCTGGGTTTTGTAAATTGTTGGCCTTGCTTCATACTTATTTGCCTAGCTTGGTTTCTGTAAGCATTCCACTTATGGTTTCGTTTATCCCTTGATGCATGAGCAAGTAATTTGGTGGTTTTTTGTGCATTTTGTTTCTGTGATATTAGGAAATGGCTGGGGGAAGAGTATTTGTAAAGAGATTGAAAGACTTAGCAAGGTGAGTAGTTGTCGGCACATTTTATTTAATGTTGTCATGTCTTTTCTTCTACTGATTTACAGTATTGTTCTTGTTTCTAATTACTAGAGTCGTGTTGTGTTTTACAATTACATTTTTATTATTTTTCTTTTTCATACTCATTTATCAGTTCATTATTTCTTCTTTTTCTTTTCTTTTTCATACTTATCAATGATTAATGTATGCATACTGAAATCTTAGCAATTTGTTACAGAATTTGTAGTAATATACTATCTGTAGAGTGTGCTTGGGTTCAGGTCTTGGGGATGAATGTTCAAATAATAACCCAATAGTTCCATATGTTATATCCAGCAAGCCTCTGCACCTAAATAGGTTGTTGTAATTACTGCAGTTTTGTAGATTTGCTGTTTTTTTTCCGGTGGAAGTGGTGGAATAGAGCTATCTTTTGGGAAAATAAAGTTAATGAATGATTCTTTGTTGTATTTCTGCAGGGGCACGTTATGATATCATTTTTGTGCGTTTAATAGCAGAACAAAAGCTGCTTTCACTTGGCTTGTTGTCTCCTCATTTCGATCTACAAAATGAAATGCAGAAGTGAGGTTGTTTTCGTTACTTATATAAGTTGCAACTATGACGTAATTTCTGACTTGGGCGTTTCATGATGTATTTCGTTGGGAAAGCAAGTATATCTGTAATCTATTTATATTCTCATTTCATTAAAGAACTTCCTTTGTAATAACTTTGTTCTGGCTATTAAGGGGATATCATTTGTAATGACTTTTGGCTTTGGAAATCATTTATAAAATGCTTTATTTCTTCATTTTTTTTTTGGTAGGATTATTTCTTCATTTCATTATTCAGACTCTCAATACTACAAGTTCAAATACGAAAGCATTGGAAAACAGGCGTAATTAATTATGAAATATATTTGTTAAATATCGTGATCAAATGTAAGTATCTAGACACGGGAGAATCAACCAAATACCGTAACTAATGGTTGACATCTAGTCACAGGAAAAACTTTTCTCTCGGTAAATACCGTGTTAAAAACCTATCTCCTGTCTCTAAATAATTTTTTTTTCCGGTTTTGTGTGGCAAGACTTGGTATTAGTCATAGGCCTTCCCGTGATTAATCGGTATAAATTATCACGGGAAAGCATACCTTGACTAGTTATAACTAGTCACGGTACAAGTTTCCCGTGACCTTTACAATTAGACACGGAGGTATATATTACGGTAATTTTCCCGTGACTAAAATAATTAAACACGGGAAATGCACTTTCAACACAGGATTTACCGTGTATAGATGGTCTTTTTCCTGTAGTGAAACCAACCCTTAGTGTACGAGAAGCAAAGTCGGTTGATTCATCCGTGATTCGCTAGGTAAGCTGTCTGATGATATATTGTCATAGAACCAAGAATTTTGGACTGATCGATTCAGTTTGTTGCAGGTTTGATCCAGCAAGCAGGCAGGGTGATGCCCTAGAAATTATTTCATCGTAACGACCGCTCGCTCGTCGTCCAGTTCATCTATTGCAGCTCTTGTTGTCATAGTTGTTACGATAATGCAAGCTAACCGGTACGTAATTCCCACCACAAAGTACAGACAAAGAACACAAAAAGTTATGGTTTTCATTTAATCAGATACTTTGATTTGTTACTAGAAGTGTCGAAACCAGGCGGCTCAATAAGTACGATATTGTCCGCTTTTGTAACAAGTTCACACGAATTTACTTTTGTGTCTACTCAATTAGAGGCATCGTACAGTCGTACTAATGAGTATATGGTAGACATTAATTTACAAGGGTTCCATTTTCTGGCATTACCGATTTGGTACTTGGATTGTCCCATGACAATGCTCCCCCACAATACAAAGATCACAAACTTTGTGTACTCTCCTCAGTGGTGAAAATCGGGTAACTCAATTAGACCGATATTGTCCGATTTGGGCCAAGCCCCGCACGGATTTACATTTGGGTATCCTCCCCCAAAAACCCTCGTACTAATTAGGCTAGATGGACACTAATATATAAGTGTCCATTCGGCCAGTTCTGTGGTACCGGCACGGCACTAGTGCCACCTATTTTTTAGCCGCTGGATTTGTTGCTTTTGATGACAGCCATTGATTAATAACCATCACTTAACCAAATAAGGTTCAACCTATTATATTTGGTTAAACCTATCAATTGTGACAGCTCGTCACTACAGTTCAGTTCCCAAAAAATGTATACTTTCCCGTCGTTTTGTTCCATTAGTCGGCGGCGAGAGTGCACATCAATACAGCCGATAGAATTTATCGTTTCAAGCATAAGGTTCATGTTCTTCGCCTTGATCTCAATCCCTTGACCCCGAGATTACGCGATGGTCAGGCGCGTGGTAATGATTATGGTCGAGCGACCGCAAGAGCATTGAGGACGGCGATGGTTCCGACTGACCGGGGATAACGAATCGGCAATGATGATGGTGGTTGCGTTTCAGACTATCCTCGATTTCAATTTGAAGAACTCCGGCATTTTTTATTTTGTGTTGCTGATTACCTCTCCGGTAGATCTTTCGCTTCCAGAAATCAATTGAAGGGAACTCTTCGTTCACAGAGAAAGAAGAAAGAAACAAATAAAAGGGAACCAGAAATGTCGTCCGTCGCCCCTTTTCTTATTTTTTAATCTTTCTTTGGTTTTTTATTTATTAGTTACCCAAGCCAGACCTAACAAATTTACCAAACCATTGAGAACCAAACCTAATTAATTTGAACCGGCCAAAGTCACTGCCGGCACAGGTGCAGTTGCGGCACCATAGAATTCCCGGTGTCCATTCTCTTGTATTACCGATGTGTTAATTGTATAGTCTTGTAACGGGAAGAAGTATAAGCAAAAAGCTGCTCAACATAATATAAATGAAAAGAAAATTTTGGGTATATATGGTTCAAGTATAGGTTTTAGGTGCTCCACTCCATTCTCATATCCAATACAAATATCAGTATATCACCTCATTTCCCTTAGTTTGGAATCTATGAGAACCTAACAAAACGGAATGATCTTCCCCTTACATGTTTTGACACCATGAAACAAGGAAACTTTAGCAGCTTTTCTTTCCATGATCCGTATATAACAAAATACGACGGATCACAACCTCACTGATGACAAAATGTAGTACTGGTGTCATACCTCACGTAACAATCTTTAAGCACGAGCCAGCCTCCGAACAAATGCTTGCACTCGACGTCGACCACTCGCCACTGGGCGTTATAGAGACAGAGCTCGCAGTCGTGGTCGGAGAGCCCACGGGCACAATTCGCGGCGGCGAAGACCGTAGATTTCGCCGCCTGCGCGCATGTATTCGGCGACCCGGAGACCACGAAACGGATCGCGGAGTCTATGGAGCCCAGTGCTTGCATTCTCATTTCGTTGGAGTCGTCGCTCTTCTTCCCGCAGCCAGATCCGATCTTGTCTACGTTGTAACCTTTAACGACAACGATGGAGGTGTCGTCGCTAAATGTGAGCGCTGCAATAAGGACGACGGCGGAAAAAGATATGGTAAGGAGATTCAGCATCTTCATGCACTGGGTTGATTATGGATTTAGTGGGGGGTGTGTATTTATGTCCGTTTGAATAGGGTCTCAATCACATGATACGGACAATGGCGGGAATGTAAGGGCATTATAAAAGGTATTAAGAGACTGAACCAACAAAAAAAAAGAGCACAACGAACTCATGTTTAGTGTCGATTTACATTTGTTTTCAGTGGTTTGTGTTTAGTGTTCGGAAGTGTCGATCTGTTTCTAATACATGGGCTTAACTAATTGGATATCTCTTTTAACTTTTAAGGGTTGGGATAACCATTTGATAGTGGATCCAGAAAATCTAAATATAAGAGTTGTTAATTAAAAACATTTTATTTTCCCTAATTTTCTTAATTGACTCTTATATTCTTCGTTCTAACTCGAGTTTCAAAATTTTATTGCACAGATGGAACGAGTACGTTGTGCTCTACAAAATGAGATCAATTTTCAATATAGTTCGAGAAACTTTCTTTCATACCTCCCGTTACCAACTACATAACATATGGTAACTTCTTCGCTTTTTAAAACGTTTGCTCAGAATGAACGAGTTCATCATGATCTATTGGATCTACAAATTTCTGAGTAAAAAATATAGAACAAAAATTACTATACTTTACCACTATGGTATGTGGGTGGTAACTTACGGTAACTTGTGGTAAAAAGTGATGAAAGTCGTAATGACAGTTAGTATACCCCTACTATCATGTATTCAACCTTCCTACTATATTGGTATGTTCATACCATCCTGATACGCTTTCTTACCAAAATGACTCAATTTTTTTTTGTCTAAAAATATATCAAAGTGGATATCATTTTAAAGAGCACAATTAATCTGATCTAACTGTGCAAAAAAAATTAAATTTCGAGTTAAAACGAGTGAGAAATCGTACCATATGGTATTGACTGGTATTAAATAACAGCATACCATATGGTATGAAAAATACCACCTCATACCAGGGTGGTATAGTATGGTATGGAGTTGGTAACAATTCAAAATGATATCCACTTTGATATTTTTTAGAACAAAAAAAATTGCTAGTTATTACCAGTCAATACCATATGGTATTGACTGATATTAAATAACAGCATACCATATGGTATGAAAAATACCACCTCATACCAGGGTGGTATAGTATGGTATGGAGTTGGTAACAAGAGGTATGAAATTTTTTCCCCCATAAAATTTTGAAATCCAATAGATCATGATTAAATCGTTCCTTTTGTGCAAAAATTTTCGAAAATGACTAAACAACAAAGGAGATACCATATGGTATGGAGTTGGTAACGAGAGGGATGAATATTTTTTTCTCAAAAAATATTGAAAATGGATATCATTTTGTAGAGCACAACGAACTCGTTCCATCCGTGCAAAAAAATTGAAATCCGAGTTAGAATGAAGAAGATATGATCCAATTAAGAAGGCTAGGGAAAATAAATTTCTTTAATTCTCCACCTTTAGATCTGTAGCCACTTAAAAGAAGGGTCCAGATTTGGTTACTCGCCCTATCTTGAGCCAATGAGAAATTAAGAATGAAGTTTTTAGCATTATATTAAAAGACAAGGACAAGTATCTAAAAACTTATTTCCACGCCCCTTAACGCAGTGCGCGGGTCCGTATATTTTTTTTTCCATCGTTTCAATTGTCTTATTCTTTATAGATAATCAATAAAGATTTAATCTAGTGGTAATACTATTAGCTTTTAATATAGAAGTCATCATAGATTTAAATCCTTTAACTATTAAAAGTAATTTTATATCATCCTTATAAAGGATTTAATCTATATTTAAATCCTTTTATTCTTTTCCTATGGTGTCTCCTCTCCCATCTCTTGTGGGATGCTTTGTACTTGAACCTGGTTCTGAATTGCTTTGTTTAATTCAATGTTCATCATTATTATCAAACAAAAAAAAAACAAAAAATTCTTTCTAGATATAGTGTAGGAGATTCCATGCACTTCTCATAGAAATTAAGTCCCGCATTTTACCCCATGCCGGCCCGATATCAAAAGAGCTACGCATGCCATATCATGAAGAAAAAAATTTTGAATGGCTAAACATCGCCTTAACTTTACTCTTATCGCCCTAACTTAAAATTTAAATTACTAAATTAACCTTAATGAATCAAACCGAAAGCAACAAAACAAATGGGCCCTAAAACCCTAATTCTCCATCTTCTTTCAACAAGAACGACGTCCCCTCAAAATTTTCTCCGCCGCCCAAAACCTGCAATCCAACTTTAGCAAGCATCCCCTGTTTGGAGCAATATATATACACTTAGACGTGTGAAAGAGGGGAAATAGCTAAGCGGCATCCGGCCGGCCTGGAAATTTGGAGCGGTATGTTTGTCCCGAATTAGGGGTGGCTATACGGTCCGGTCCGGTTAAATTGGACCAAATTGATCCGGTCCCAGTCCGGTCTTTTCGGGAATATAAGGACCAAAGATTGGATTGGATACACTCTGGTCTTGATCGGGTCCGGTCTTGACCCGGTCCGGTCCCAATTTGATTTTGATTTTAGATTGAGTTTGTGGGGATTTGAGTGTTGGGGTCTCTTATCCGGTGTTTATCCGGGTTGTTTACCTCAAATCTAAGCCCGAATATGAGATTGGATTGTTTGCTATCCGGTCCCAGTACAGTCCCGGTCCGGTTTTGGGTAACACCAAACAGTTCTGGACCAAATTGCCAGCCCAATCCCGAGTAGTGAGGGTAGCCGCCTGTTAAGGCTTGTGGGCTTGCGTTGAGAATTGAGAGATGCAACTATGAAGAAGTGGACTAGCGCCGAGAAGTATCTCGATGGGTCTGCGGGATTCTATGTGGCTACTGGGGCTTGATGAGCGACATGTCTACAAACGGGTGCTTGATGCGGTTACCTATGGTGAAGCCAAAACTTAGGGTCTTTTGGATGAGGAATTGTAACGGATCAATTTGACACAATTGTCTCGTTTTGAGACAATTGTACCAAATTGCCTCGTTTTCCAGCAAAAAATTTGGATGGATCAATCTGCATGAGATATTTTGAATTGATCCATTTTGAGTCAATTTCAATTACCTGGGGTGGGGCAGGTAATTCGAATTGACTCGTTTTAATTACCTCGTTTATAAAACGACACAATTGATCAAATTGACTCATTTTTAGATTGATCCATCCAAATGAACCCTTAATACGTGATGGTTTTCGGGCTGCTGCGGTGGCCGGCGGCAGTGGAAGATGGCGACGGTTATTAACTAGGGCGATAAAATAAAATAACAAAAAAGGTAACCATGTAATTTTAACTTTTAAATTAGGCGATTACAATAAAACTAGGACGGCAATTAGCAATTCTCAAAAAGATTTGTTATCGATTATTCAACAGGACCACCATTTTTATCTCCCTTTGTTTTTTTTTTCAAGTCCTTTTGTATTTTTGTTAATTGTCTGGAAATATTGGTATCTTTCTAATTTCCTTATGTAGTTATCCATAAAAAACCGTGTCTATATCTATGTTTGGCCCGGTAGAAGTGATTTTCGGATTCAAAAGTTGAAGTATGGCCAAACACCTCTAAAAGCTCGGATTTTGAAAAGTCGAAAAAGTGCTTTGTATAACATAAAAGCAGAAGTCCCAATTTAAAACTTCTGAGAAAAGCTACTTTGAAAATACAAGATTATCTTTACTATATTTTAATTTTATTTCATAAATGTAATTTCTTTCGTTTATATCATTTTAAAAATAAAATAAATAAAATTATTTAATATAAAAGAAATCTAATAAGATTCATTTTGACTACTTTTTATTGTTAAGAATTCTTATTCATATTTTATATTACTAGTCTTTTATAGTCATTTTGCACAACCATTTATAATAAAAAAAACACTTCTAATAGATATTCAGTCAAACTGGCCAAACTGGTACGGCATGGCCAAACTACTTCTGCAAAAGGTACGGCATGACCAAACTGGCCTCATATGCTAGTTATATAGTTTTCGCGCACCATTCGGAAAACATGATATTAATGATTAATTAGTTATTTGCGACCATTCTAATGATGCACAAAGCCGAAGAGTTATAAGTTGCTAACCCCGTAAAAGGTTAGAACCATACAAACTAGTTTAATTATCATTAAATTAAAAAAAACGTAATCCTAGAGTCAAAATTAATAAGTAGACAGTTTAGTCAATATGCTCTTAAACCCTAATATAAATACACATTCTCCCTTCCAAACCTTTCTCCTGGCCGCACACTTTTCTCTCCTCTTCTCTACACCAAAAACCGTATTTTTCCCTACCCCTTCCACCTCCTCCATTTGCCAGGCCAGCATCGCCATCGCCCGCACCGGACTCGCCTTCGTCGTGATGTCGCTTCCGCCTCTTCGCTAGCCGATATCGAGGGTGGCCGCCCTGAACTACTGAGGAACGCCACCGTCAACGCCATCATCCCTCCCTGCCGGCAACTAATCCCAGATCCGTCCCAATGAAGGCTGCCATCACGCGAGAATCATTGTCGATTACCAGATCTTTCTCAGCAATGTCGACCTCAAGCTGTCGCATCTCTTCCAACAGTCACAATTTGCGGATCTCTCCCAGCCGACACGACGCCGACGTCACACTGCCGTTGTTGATATGACTTGAATCGGACTATCAGCCGCTACGACTGGTAATCGGGGGTCTGGGCTCAATGTTATTTGGGTTCGGGTTTTGGGCCTGGTCTGTAACTGTTTCCTTTGCCATATTGGATTAAGTTTAGACCCACATGGAGAAGTACTATAAATACTTCTCATACTCCTCTGTAATCTCCTTGATATAGTGAAACTGGCTCTCTCTCGCCCGTGGACGTAGCTAACACACATCGTGTTAGTGAACCACGTAAATCGTGTGTCGTGTTTTCGATTCTCGCTTTCGTATTCTTGCTTTGTCGATTCCTGCGATTTCCCGATCCGTAGCAGCGCGTTTATAACAAGTGGTATCAGAGCCTGGTTGATCTTTGGGTTATTTGAAACTGTCTTGGCGGATTTTGGATCGCGCTCTTGGTCGATCGGCTGGGCAATTGGCTAGGGATTTTGGTGACTGCTGCGGTATCAAGAGATAGTGT